ATGTTTTCTAGATCCTCAAAAACAAATCAAACCTACACAAAAATTGCTGTTGAGGTGTTTAGCCAAATAAAAGACAAATTATTTATATATTAATGTTCAAATTCTAATTGAAAAGCCCAGTACCACAAGACATATCAGGTAACTAAACTCTAACAAGAAGTCATCAAATTTATACTTTGGATCAATTAAGTAATGAAATAAATTAATATTTCATTTGTTACAATGGATCTTGTTTCAAGTGTTCAAAGCAGCAAGTCATTAGTGACAGCTGATTCGGCATTCAACGATAAGGATAAATAATTTACGCCATCAAGTAAAAAGAGCCATGCACAAGTTACTATTGTGTAGACTGAAACGCTTCATTTGAGCACTTCAGCAAAGAATCTGTGTTGAGAGAACAAAACAGTAGAACTGAAGCAACTGTCAAGACAATACCATGAAAAATAGTGGTGAATCAGGTGATTGTTTGGACAAATGTTACAAGCAATACATGGATACCAAACAGAATCTATTGAATATTCACTCAAGGATTCCTAACCACCAAAAAGTTGAAAAACAATTTACTACAGCAGCTGGTCACCTAATCATTCTCAGTCTGTATTTTGAATTGTAATGACTGCAGATTTAATCAGTGACTTTTGCATTTTTGATCATTTTAGTCAAACTTAATGTCCTTATTAATGTATTCCTTTTAACAAATTGTTTATTCAAACATATTAAGATAACTTGTGCAAAAGTTCACTTATTAAAAACATTAGTGACATGCAGCAAGCTATAACAGCTGTGTTATTGATTACAAGGAGTGTAATGTGCAGCAAGGCGAGTGTCAACAGGCAAACTAACTACTAGCAAGGGATGATCCATGAATGAGACAAATATAGCAGCCTTTTCCTTGAAGGATATTTCCCAGAAACCCCAAATGAGTTATTGCATAAATTAAAAGGTACGAATAAAACAAGTTACATGCAAGATATTTATCAAGCTGAAGCAATATTTAAAAAAAATAGAATACAAGATTTTCCTTTGATAACAGCAAATTAGAGCATGCCAATGAGAAAATCTACTTAAAAGGATACTCATCCATACCTGGAGTAACATTAAATGTTTTACATCTAATTTGAGATACATTATCTTTAATCTCTATTAAGAATTGCAAAACCAAGACAGATAGTTGGAAAGGCATGCATGCACAGAGCATCTCAAAGTGCCTTGCAGTGAAGAAAATATATCTTTTCGTGAATTGTAATTTTGCCACTGTAACTTTCGAGATTTCCAAATCAGCCAATTTGTCCAGCAAATTGCCACAACTGCAAAGTAATAATGAGCTGACAATTTGTATTCACGATGTTAATTGAGGGATAAATGTGATTTAAGGATAACCTTTCTGCTTTTCTTCAAGATATTTACATCGGATAGTTTATGCGGAGGGCTGACATGGCCCCAGTTTAATGCCTCACCTGAAAGACAGAACTTCCAACATGTAGAACTCGCAGTTTTCTGTACTCAAGTCCTGAAGGAGCCTAGAACCCTGGAACCTCAGGAGGTGAGTGTTACCAATCAAGTTACAGCTAACACACACAGAGGTAACACACAGATTGGTCTAAACCAGTTCCAACCTTCCTTCATAAATTTATTACAACACAATGATGTATGGTATTCCCAGGGTGGTGATCTGGAACTGAGGCAGGAAAGTTATACAGGCCAGTCACGATCTAACTAAATGCTATGTTTCCTGATTTAATGTAATCTGCCAAGTCCAGATACATGGTTTACATCACAGGACCATCAAACAGGATGTCAAAATAAAGCTACTTATATGAACACTGCGGTTGTTTCAACTTTTCAAAATAACAATTGCTTGATAAAGCTTTATGTTGAAAATACATCTCTAAGATTTATATAGGACAAACCTAGAAGGCATCAGCAAAGTACAGGTATACGAGGAAGTGATCCAGGACCAATAAAGTAACGTTTTTCAATCAATATTACACATTCCAAGATATGCTAATGAACTTAAAATAAATTTTCATGACTAATATAATTTAAAATTAAATACACGATTCAACAGGTAAACTATGACATTGTATGAGTGAAGCAAAATCACAGCGGCATGAATTGTATGAAGAAAGACCATTAATTGTTTTGAAAACCATTATGCTCTCATTTAAAATTTCAAACAAATTTGCTGGACTAAAGTATGGCTAGTGCCAGTCAATCTCAAATTCTGTGAAGTTCCAAGCAGCAGTACCTCAGACAGTAACTTTCTCGAATCTCATGCCTCTCTTTTTTAGCATTGCAATCAAAAGCCGCATAAAGAAGCAATAGATCTGCATCTCCAAGGCTACTTTAGATAAAGGACGGGACTAATGAAATTCATTAGGGCTGAAGTGGCACTAGCAGCAGCATTTATCTCACAGCAAACGACAAAGGAAGCATTGAAATTACTTCATCAAGGAATCCTGCCACATGACCAAAATTTCTAGTTTCTAAAAAATTTAATTTTAAGTTCTGGTTTGCATGGCTCTGGTCTGGGAAGAACTAACTGCTAACATCACTGCCCGAAATATTTTTTCTACAGAAACCAGACTTCAGGTTTAGCCAAGACAGTCATTAGTCCCATTATCTCCGAAATCTGGTTTCCAAAAATAATTTTATATTTGCCTAAAAAGTAGACCAACAGCACTGTTACACCTCCTGATACCTCAAGAAGGGATTCTGCAGAATCAGCTTAAGGAAATCAACTTTCTGGGCTTGTTCAAAAAGTAGTGAATTAATGTTTAATTTCATGCTATTTTAATGTTTTAAATTATTCCTAATTGCAACATTCTTTTCTTTCTACCCTTCAGATATTTGTAATCAAACTATTCAGATCTGTTGTTATTACACAGATCTGAAGCAGGCGGGACTTGAACCTGGGCCTTGTGGTAGGGATACCACCACTGTACTACAACAGCCCTTATCACAAATGCGATAACCAAATTACAGAAGCCAAACGTGCAAATGTTAGCTTTTTCTGGTGTAATACTATCCCAGAGACATTACCACTAGGCTACTACCTCCAAATATTCTTCCTTATACGCTTACGCGTCTGGGTGTATTGCAACAACCACCCCAAGTTTAAATGTATGAACAAACCACATTTTCACACTCTAAATAAAACTTAGATCTCACAAACAAGGGGCTATGACAGAGACACACGTGGTCTATTTCAAAAGGAAAAACACATCTAAAAATTCCTCTACGTACAGATAGGAGAAAAATAAAACTAATTCAATTCATCTCTCTCATTGTCCATAACACAGAGAATATTGCATAGCATTTTAAACAAAGGAAATATACGATTTGCTAAAACTGTACAAGATCAGACAGAAGAAAAAACATGATGAAAGTAGTACTCCAGTTGGTTAACCTTATCTAGTTGGAATTTCGTGTTTCCTACTGAAGACAGTGTGAACCTGCGAGATCCAACCAAGATGAAATTACTGGTGCGCACTGCATTGGGACCTCCAGGACTTGTCAAAGCTACAAATGAAAACAGAACATTGAAAAATATTTAAAGAAATTTCCAGGCACCTTTAGGAAATTACTAGTGAAAGACAACAGGTGAAAGCCAAATATGTGGTATGAAGCAAGAAGCAGCTATGCTGCTCCTCCTGGTTTCATATGAATCTAAACAAAAAAAGTACTAAGCTTAATTTGATAGGTCACATTTATGTCTAACTTAAGCAGCAGCATTCCCAGGTAACAAGTGCCAATTGTTAGCTATTGGGTGATATGTTTCAGACATCTTTGGAGCACGGAGCCCAGGCCTGAGAAACTGATTAATTTTCTGCCTGGAAAACAGTTACAATGATGACCAGTTTCGAGCCAAATGTCAAATGTATTTCTGCTTATGTTGGAACCTGCATATTTAGTAACATTACAAGTTTCAGACAGCACAATGGCTCTAAGTACTTCAACCTTACTGGCAATACAGATTTATCAAGGCTTAGAAGCGAGAGACTTCCACCGGCACAATGTCCATTCATACTCTCAGTTTTGGATGTGTGAACAAGACTAACATAAATGTTATTTTACTTATGAATTATTATAATCTTAGCACCAAACCTTGCTTTATATGCATTAATAAATTCATTGTCCATGATGCAACAACCTACTACTAGTGAAAAGTTAACACATTTAAATCACCTTTCTTTTACCCTGCAAAATAAATTCATTCAAGAGTTCAGATTTAAGCAGAAAAACAAAACAGGAAACTAAAGAATGGAGGGACTTATCTGCTGAGTTCTAACTTAAAGCCAAAATTTTTAATTTCATGGTATGCATTTGCTCTCATTCCCAGGTGCCCTTGAACTAAAAGTTTTCTTAGACCACTGATGAAAGCAATTAAGGGTCAATCACACTACTGAGAATCTGGAAGTCACATTAGGCCAGAATGGGCAAGGATGGCAGATTTCAGTCCCTAAAACTACAGATGGGTTTTACAACTATCAATGAGAGTTGACATGGTCACTATCACCAAGACAAGCTTTACATTCCAGGATTTTAATTAAATTGAATAGACATCTCCCAAAAAAAAAGTTGAGGATGATAAGTGTTGAGAGCAAAACTTGCAAGTAATAATACCAAGATAAACAGCAAAAGCTTCTTCAAACACAAAAAGAAAAAGTGCATGCACAAAATGAACATAGACTGCCTAGAGAATGAGCCTGGGGAAATAATAATGGGGAAGCAGGAAATGGCAGAGAAGTTAAATTAATACTTTGCAGCAGTCTTCACTGTAGAAGGCACCAATAACATTCTACAAATAGTAAATACTCAGGGGGCAAAAGGAGAAGAAATAAAGGCAATAGCTAACACTAGAAAGAAAAACTCAGGAAACTAATAGCACTAAAGACTGATAAGTCATTTGGATCAAATGGGATGCATCCTTGGATATTAACCATAGCTACAGAGATAGTGGATGCACTGGTAGTAAGCTTCCAAGAATCCTTAGATTGTGGAAAAGTCCCAGAGGGTTGTAAACTACTTATGTAAAACCTTTACTTAAAAAGTGAAGGAGATAATAAAAGCAGGTAACTATGGGCCAGTTAGCTTAACATCTGTTACTGGGAAAACGTTAGTCAACTATAAAAGGATGTAATAACAGAAATTGCTGGAAAAAACTCAGATCTGGCAGCATCTGTGGACAGAAATTAAAACCCTTCTTCAGAACTGGTTGATTAGTTAGAAGGCCAGAGGGAGGGGTCCACGTGGAAGGAGAGTGTTGGAGGTGGGTACAAGGGTCGGTGGGTCAGGGAGAGGAAAGGAGTCCAAAGAAATGGGCACAGAGGCAAAGGAAGAAGATATCAACGTCTTGTCATATCCAAAATTTATCAAGGTGGGGACGAAGAAGGGTCACTAGACCTGAAAGATTAACTCTCATTTCTCTCCTCAGATGGTGCCAGACCTGTAAGTTTTTCCAGCAATTTTTTTGTTTCTAATTTCCAGTATCTGCAGTTCTTTCGGTTTTTTGAAGAATATGAGGCAATCTTATTGAAGCAAAAAGAATTTGAGAAGCTAATATATAAAACAGCTATGGAGGCTGGAGCTCTGAAACAAACAAAAACAGAGATTGCTGGAGAAATTCAGCAGGTCTGGCAGTATCTGTGTAGAGAAAATAAAGTTAATGTTTCAAGTCCAGTCGCTCTTCTTCAGAAGAAATGTTTTCCCTTGGGGGAAGAGTCCAGGACCAGGCAGCATGATCTGTTACCTTTAAGGGGTGACCTCTAAGCTTAGGGAGGAATTTCTTCATGAAGGTAGTAAATTTCTGTAATTCTTTACTGCAAAGGGTTGTCGAGAGGCTGGGTCATTAAGCATACTCAAGACTGAGATAGACAGATTTTTAATGAATAAAGAGAACCAAGGGTTATCGGGAGAAAGCAGGAAAGTGGAGTTGAGGATTATCAGGTCAGCCATAAACTCACTGAATGATGCAGCAGACTCAATGGGCTGTTAAATATTAGTCTAGGCTTTGGATTACTTGTCCAGTGACATTATCAATATGTCACCATCTTCTTTCATGGCAAGATTAGCAATTATTTCCCACCTCTAATTGCCTTCGACAAGGTTGCAGTGAATCAACTTTCTGGACCTCTGCAGTTCATACATTGAGATACACCCAATGTGCTGTTAGGCAGGGAGGCACAGGATTTTTACCCAGCAACACTAAAAGAACAGTGATATTATTTCAAATCAAGACGGTGAAAGTTTTGGAGGTAATTTGCAGGTGATGGTACTCCCATGTATCTACTATTCTTTTGTTCCAAGTGTGGTGATCAAAACTTTGATAGGCGCTGTTGAAGAAACTTTCGTGAGTTGTAGTGCATCTTGTATATTGTACACACTGCTGCCACAAATGGCATTCAATTCCTCCACCACCAAAGTGATCAAATGGGTTTGTCTGATATGGACAATATTGTTGCAACTGCACTCAGCCAGGTAACTGGAAAATATTCCATATTCCATCGCAGTTCTGATTTATGCCTTATAGAGATACCGTGAGTCACAAAATGAGTTACTCACCGCAGAATGTCCCTCCTTTGACCTGCTCTATTAACAACAGTATTTAATTAGCTGGTCCAGTTGAGTTTCTGGCCAATTGTAAGCCAAGGATGTTGACAGTGGAGTACTCCGATGGTAATAATACCATGTTGAGGGGAAATGATTAGATTATTGTTGCTAGAAAGCATCATTGTCTGAGCTGCAAATGCTCCTTGCTACATATAAACCCAAGCCTGAATGTTATCTAGGTTTTGCTGCATAACAATACTGACTACTTTTGTACGTGAGGATTGTGAATGATGCTGAACATTATACAATCATTAGCAAACATCTCCACTTTTGACTCCCCATTCATTTAATCCAGTTTTGCTAGGGATCTTTGATGTCATATTTGGTCAAAAGGTGGCTGGATATGAAGGGTAGTCACTCTCACCACACCTCTTCCACCTTGTGGAAGCCAAACTGAGCTTCAGTAAGCAGGTTTCAATTTCATGACAGCATATATCATGAGAAAATTGTTGGCAAAGCTCTCCTTTTATATTAGAAAAACTCAATTAGAAATTCAGTTGCAGTTTTTCCAAGTGATTTAGGTCAGTCAAGATAAATTAGCAAAAGAAACTGCAAGTCACACCAGTTTATGCCAAGTTATCAATCAACTTACCTGGTGTATGCAAGTTGCTTTTCTGTTTGAAATGAAATGAACAAAAAGATCAAGAAATAGCATTAAATATTATTCACAAACTCCACATACAAAAACTGCTACTGAATCTAAAATTACAAATGAAGTACAACTGTACAAGTTTAATGCTTTATGCTACATAAAAGAAAGCCATTCATTCACTCCTTTATTCGTTAGTTCTCACCAGGTCTTGCCCAATTCTCAAATGTGGGACTAGCCAAGTGCTCATTTATTCCTCTTTGTTTCTCCCTGACAGATAGTTAAGGGTAGCAGGATTGTTCACTATAAATTGTATTTCCCTAATCTGACACTCTTTGGTCCGGCAATTTCTGTGATCCAGCATGTTCTGCTGGCGTGAACCCTGCAGTATTTCAAGTCTCCCGGAATTGTACTGACATGTAAAGAGATTGTAAATATTCTGTAAAATGACTGCTTTCTACCATGTTTTACGTTGTACTGTGTTTTTAAAATATGTTTTAAGTTCTTATGCTAACCCTGACACTTGATTTCTCATGATCTCGCAGATTTTATGCTCCAGCAAAGAGCTGGACCTGAGGTTGCTGGATTATTGAGTTAGATGGTCTGCATACTGGCATTCTCAAACTTCAAGTATGGCCTTTGGAATTTCAAGGGATCCCTAGATTCACACAGGCACATGCACGCAAACCATCTAATTCTAGAGCTCCTTCCCTATACCCCAAGCAACAGGATCTCGCAGTCTTTCATTTTGTACACTCTTCCTGTGAGTGACGAAGTAAGTGAGATAAGGAACACTTTGATCAAGACAATGAAATAAATGATTCAGAAGGATAAATTAGCGAAAGTCACAGCTTAATATGGTGTTAAAGAAATCAATGCATCAGGATGATAAATGAATAATGCAAAAATAGAGGAAGAGTACTGACAATACAGCATCTAGAAAGATATACTCATCACCAGGTAAGTGCTCCAAACAGAAATCTCTTCATACTTTTAGATGAAAGTATTGGAAGGATTTCATAGAATATATCTGTCACAATTCAGTTGAACGTTTTCAATAAAAATTATTCAACTTCTATTCAATTTTCAAATATTTTATTCTGAAATGTCAACAAAGCACGAGTCATAGAAGGGTTTCTCCCCACAATTGAACCATGGCTTTTTTTGTCCTGGCTCAACCATAGTATCTAGGCATATGTAATGATGTCCCTATACTATTAGGAGAAATAAGGTACGGGACAAATTCAACCAAGTATGGAATTTAAATCCAATATTAATATTCTGTTCAAGAAAGAGCTGTGGCTCACAGATATTAACAATTCCACAATGCAAATTAAACAGGTGCTTCCAGCATCTTAGCAAATATTAAATTGGTAAGCAATGTCAGATCAGAAGTCATCAGCTTTCTGTTTATGGGAGCTTGCTTTACGTAGATTGGTTGCGGTTTCTTACAGCAGCAACTGTACTTCTAAAGCACTTTATTAGTAACTACTTTGGTATGTCATGAAGTCATGAAAGCAACTACATAAGCATATGATTTAACAAAAATTCTTCTTCAAACAATTCCACCAATCATTGCTCTTAACAGAACACGTCATATTTTGTCAACAGTAGAAAATGAAGAGATAAAAAGAGACATCAAAAAATTAGGAGGGCAAAGAGAAACTATGAAATTAAATGTTCAAGGAACATAAAATAGTAAAATATTTTACAGGAATATTCTAATAAAATTAATGTCAAGATGGAAACAGGGCCACTTAATTATGGCAGGATAAAATCAATTACTATGCTGGTTTGCAGGAAAACAGAAGTGGTCAGGAATTAGATGGCTACATTTAATAAAAAAAATTTAAAAAAACTAAACAAGCTTAAAGTGGATTTAAAAAACCTCTTATGGATAGACCTCATCCCATATTGAGAAAAATGTTTAGAAGAGATCGTAATTTGTTAAAGAAGGGTAGAGTGACAGAAGACTTCATTCATGGAACCTGGGTGCAGCTGATAAGGCCAACATTCATTGCCCATCCATAACTGCCCTTGAGAAGGTGGTGATGAGCTGCCTTCTAGAACTGCTGTAGTCCTTGGGGTGTAAATAGAGCTAGAGTGCTATTAGGAAAAAAGTTCCAAGATTTTGCCTCAGTAACAGTTAAGAAGTGGCAATATAATTCCAAGTCAAGGTGAGGATGGGAATACTTATGGAGACTCCTCTTCCAATCAGTAGTTTAATTGTTCACCACTATTCAAGGCAGGGCTGCAGAGCTTACATGTGACTTCTTGGGTGTGGGTCACTTAGTCCTGTTTATTGCATGCTGCTTCTCCTGTTTGGGATGTAAACAATCCTTTGTTGTACTAGTACCAACTTGGCACCTCAATCTTGGTTATGTCTGGTGCTGCATGTGGCATGCCCACTGGCACCCTTCATTGAACCAAGGTTGGATCCCTACTTTGATGGCAATGGTAGATTGGGTCAAAAGGGAGAAAGAAAGGACAGTGTACGGTTTCTGATAATTACAACTACGTATATAGTTGGAGGATGTGAAGATGCTAGATGATATGACTATCTTTTGCACTAATGTACTAAGCTCTCCCATCAGAGATGGGAACGTTTGTGGAGACCTCCCCCCCCCAATCAGTTGTTTAACTGTCCACCAACATTCATGATTGGATGTTACAAAACTGCAGAGCTTGGATCTGACACATTGGCTGTTGAATTGCTTAGTCCCGTTTATCACTTACTGCTTAGCACACAAGGAGTTCTGCATTGTAGCTTCACCAGATTGACAGCTCATTGTTAGATATGACAAGTGCTGCTCCTAGTAAGCCCTCCTGCACTCTTCAGTGAACGAGAGCTGATTCCCTAGCTTGATGGCAGAATGTGTTCAGCAATGAAGTTAGTGCTTTGGACTACAGCTCAGTTCTGCTGCTACTGATTGCTCACAGTGCTTCGTGGATGCCCAACCTTCAGTTAAACATCTAACCCATTTAGCATGGTGACAATGCCAAAAGCATCATACAAGACATTCTCAATATGAAGGAAAGTCTTCATCTTCATTCCTACTGACACTGTCGTGGATTCTGCATCTGTGGCAGGCATATTGGTGAGGATGACATCAAATACTTTTTCCCTTCTTGTTGATTCCAACACCACTTACTGCAGACTCATTCTAGCAGCTGTGTCCTTTAGGACTTGGCCACTCAGTTAGTGTTGGCACTACCTAGCCACTCTTGGTGAGGGTGTTGATGCCCCAGCTAGGAGAATATTCTGCACCCTTGTCACCCTCAGTGCTTCCTTCAAGTGGTGTACAATAGACTAGTGAAAAATTAGAACTTGCTATCACAAGGTGGTTGAAACAAATAGTAAAGATGGATTTAGGGCAAGACAAGTCTACGTGGACGAAGGGAATAGACAGTTATGTTGACAGATTTGGAAGATGAAGATGAAGAAGAAATGGTGCATAAATGCAACCACAGACTGGTTGGACTGCACATCCTATGCAATCATTAAATCAGAAATAATTAATCACCTAAATTTAGTAAGATATACAAATCCACAAAGATGCTATATAAAGCTACAGTCTTATAATGCTGAGATACAAAATATTCAGTGTCGAGCATTTCAAAGCTGTAAATTCAGTGATAAAATTATTCTTTGAATTAAACAATTGAAGTTTCACTGGATGGTATAAAATCTCAACTAAAGTACATTACATTACCAGTAGCAGATTTTTTTATGCTGTATGGTAATAAACTCTATTAACTTACAGTGATCGAAGTCAACAACCTCTTTGGAGTAATGGCCTACGAAGAAAAAAAAACTTAAGTTATTTAAAGAGGCAACCATGGTGTTAAAATGATCTTTTTGATACCTGCATGCAACCAGTATGTCACCCGAGTGTAACAAAACAAAAAATTCTGCCGTTATTCAAAAAGTTTGTTAAAATGTTATTTACCCTGGTTCAGAAGGGACAGAAGTAATTAACCCTTTTCCAGTCAGCAAAATCCAACAAGTAGAAGGTAAATATTATACCGGAGTACATAAATCTTTCATGGGAAGCTAAATCTTTTTATGGAACTGCCTTCTAGTCATGCACACTGGACAAAAATGTCTGAAGTATAATATTTTGCAAATATTCTATTCCACCTATGGTCATCATTGATCAAGTTACAATGTAATCAAAGTAAAATGTTAGCAATACCAGATGTAATTCAATCCCCTATCATCCCACCTATGACCCTACAGCCCCAAAGACAACAACTAGCTAGCTGAGTGGCCAAAGTCCAATTTCCTTCTGTTCCAGCAGCATTTATTTAATTACAACCTTAAAAGGGATATCAAGTTTTTTTTTTAAAAATTGAAATGTTTAGTCCACTTAGTATTGCTTTAAATAGAAAACGCAAGTGTAGAAGCACTGTGGACAGAGAAACAGGAGATATTATTTCTAACCAATGATTTTCACCAGAACCAGAAAAATTTAGAAATGTTAGTTTTTAAACAAGTGCAAAAGGCAAGGAAAGCTTGAGAGCGGAACAAGAAAAAAGGGAACAACTGTGATAGGATTGAAAGCTAAGTGAGATTAAATGAGGAAGGATGATGGTGAAATGCAAAAGTGGATGGTAACGGGTGTCGAGAAGAGCTGTACATGAGAAAGCAGTATCATCAGTAACAGTTGCTGTTCATAAGCAACGTGAACACAAGTAGAAACAGGAGTAGGCCACTCAACCTTACTCTGCCATTCAATAAAGTTATGATTGATCAGGTTCTTAACCTCCAAACCACATTCCTGTATACCCTCAATAACCTTTCACTTCTTTGCTTGTCAACAAGTATCTAAAACTGACTTAAACATACAAATATTCTACACGCACTACATTTTGAGAGAGTTCCAAAATATAACAGCCTGCTCCGAGGAAAGAATTCTCCTTCTGTGTCTTAAAGAGGCAACACTTTACTTTTAAACTGTGAACACTAGGCTTTAGATTCTCCAACAAATATCTAGCTGTGTAAGGCCTTTTGATCATAAGTGACCAGAATATGATAAAATTCTTCATCAAGGTGGAGGGTGAAGTAGTTGATTCTAAGATGAGGGTCCTGAATCTAAACACAGGAAACTAAAATAGTGTGAGGTGCAAGTTGGCTATGATAGATAGGGAAATGTTTCTGAAAAGGATGACAGTGGATAGGTAATGGCAAACAACGCATAGGTAAACCACAACGATTGATCGTTCCTGTCTAGTGCTAAAGTAAAATATGTAATCAGTGGCCAAACCATGGCTTAGAAAAAGAAATTAGAGACAGTATGCAGTCTAAAGAATAATTATGCAAATAAAGTAACAACAGACCCGGGGAGTGGTAGCAGTTTAGAATTCAGCAAAAGGAAGACGAAGGGGTTAATTGAGAAATGGAAAAGAGAGTGCGAGTGTAAGCTTAAGGGGCACATAAAAGCTGCAAACGTTTCTATAGCTATGAGGAGAAAATAAATTGGCGAAGACAAATGTAAATCCCTTAGACAGAAACAGGGGAATTTATATTGGGAAATGGTCGATCTACTAAATACATACTTTGGTTTGGTTTACACAAAAAAAAAAAAGAGGTCACAACATACCAAAAAATGCTAGGGCACACGAATAGAAATTTCTTCATCCAGAGATCCTGTGTCCCTCGAGTTTAAATTGAGCCTCATTCGAATTTGGTAGAAGGCTGATGATAGAGAAGTCAGGGTGGTAGTAGAGCAGAGAACCAAAATGGCAAGTGAACTAAAACTCAAGCTCGTGATTACTAACTAATCAGGAACACGCCAATGATTCCAATCTGCATTTGCCACCCCATGTAGAAAAAAAATCAGTGCTAAGGCCCACATTTATTCTTGCTTCAAACCTACTGCATATCCACCTTGTTGATGAAAGACTAAATATTAACTCTTTCTCTCTCAACAGATGCTGCTGTCCCAAGTACTTCTAACACGATTTTCATTTCATATTTTCAGCATCTGCACTACTGTCCATCAGTAACCTCGATTTTGTTTATTGTATATTTAATTGATACTATTATCACCAGCATAATTACAGGCTGGTATAATTAGTTTCTGACTACAATGTTAGTTATTTTACTGTTTACTTTAGCCTGTCTACCAATCTATCATGCCAGCTCCATCTTTACTATTACCATTGGGTGATATATCTACCAAAAAAACACACCTGGGCAACATCAAGTTGATAAGTAGCAAGTAATATTTGGGCTTCACAAGTGGCAGGCAATGACCATCATCAACAAAAGAATTTAACAGCCTCCCTTTGACATTCAATGGCATCACCATCATTAATCCTCCACTATCACATTGACCAAAATTTTAACTGCACCAACCGTATAAATACGGTGCCTACAGGTATAAGCCAGAGATTCAGAATTCTGCAGCAAGTAATTCACCTAACTCCCAAATACATGTCCATCACACACAAAACAAGTCAGAAATGTGATCAGAGAATCACTATTGTGCAGACAGGCCATTCAGCCCATCATGGCTGCAATGGCAATAAATAATCTTTGGATATCCAATCTCCTGCCTTTTCCCCACAACTCTGCACATTTAAAGATTATAAAATCAAAACAATGCCCTCATTAATGCCTCAATTTAGGCTGCCTCCACCACACTTCCAAGCAGTAGGTTCAATAGACTAACTACTCTCTGTATGAAAAAGTTTTTCTCAACTCATCACTTGCTTCTTTTGCAAAACACTTTAAAATCTGTCCTCTTTGGCTCTTGATCTGTTTGCAAATGGAAACAGTTTCTCCCCATCCAGTCTCAGGCTCCTCACGATTTTGAAAACTTCTGTCAAATCTCTTCTTAGCCTTCTCCTCTCCAAGCAAAACGGTCCTAAGTTTTCCAATCTTTCCTCAAAATTGAACTGTCTTATCCTGGAACCATTCTCAAACATCGTCTGCGTTCTCTCCAAAGCATTCACATCCTTTTGATAGAATAGCATTTGGAACAATGCATAATATTCCAGCTGAGATTTAACCAATATCTTGTATGAGTTTATCATAACCTTGTACTTCAAGCACCCTGTTCTCAGCAAACATCTTCAACTGATCATGTTGCAATACCTGACAATCGAGTTTACTGATTTTATTTTTGCCTATCCTCAATAAACAACCCAGGTACATTAAGACCAGTTTGCAATGTTCCACAATTAGACATCACGGATTTTAGCAATTTGGGATAAATCTAAGGTGTGCTAGAAGTAAAGAAAACAACTCTGCCATCTGCACTTGAGAGAGGAAGGAGTAAGTGAAAAATTGTGAAGCTTTGGCCAGTCACTTAACGCTAACCATGGCTGCTGACTTCTTCTGGCTTGCTACTTACTCCCATAATCATGAGTAGGACAATTTAAGGATCAGACGAGAAGGCAATGGTCATTTTACAATACATTGAATACATTTACAACTCTTGCATAGAATCAAACAAAAGTGTGTATGTGAATCACACCTATTCATTTACTCCACATGTAATGCAGGTCTGGAAATGAAATTCAAAACATGTCCAAATGAAGGCCAGTTAGAAAATCAGAATTGGGGTTTTATTACTGAAGTATAAGCAGGGAAGATCAGTATTGTTATATTGAAAATGTGAATCATACCAAAGAGCAAATCAGTTCTCTGAAGTAATGAAACACTCCCAGATGAAGTGCAGGCATTTTGCACAGAAACTACAAAAAGAAAATATATTTAGCCAGCTGGTTGTTCTTAGCAAACATAGGAAATGTAGAGCCAGTAGTAAAGTTTATCAGCTCATAATCTGGTTTCAAGAACAGTTCAACTGTTGAAGGGGATATATGCCATAAAATAGTTAAGCTTCGATATAAAGTTACTTTTAAAGAAGTGTGGAGATCATTATGCTGCTGGAACATACATAAAGACATATTCAAGATATTTTTTAAAAAAATCAAAACTACTCATTGACACAAGGCATTTCAAAAGGAAACATTAGAAAGAAATTCAGAAAGTTTTTTTTGTCGAAAAAGAAATTACTTTAAGGACTGTTTTAACAGCAGTTTCAATTTATCCTCATAGCAGTATTTTATCCTCTCTCAACATGTCTGTACAAACTTTTTTGTTAATTCATTTGTGGGATGTGGGTGTTGCTGGTTGGCCAGCATTTATTGCCCATCCCTAGTTGCCCTTGAGGTAGTGGTGAGCTGCCTTCTTGAACCGCTGCAGTCCATCTGCTGTGGGTTGACCCACAATGCTATGGGGGGGTGGGGGGGGGGGGGGTGCGCGGGTGTGATTTCCAGGATTTTGACACAGCAACAACGAAGTAATGGTAATATATTTCCAAGTCAGGATGGTGAGCAGCTTGGAAGGGAACTTCAAAGTGGTTGTGTTCCCATATCTGCTGCCCCTGTCCTTCTAGATGGAAATGGTTGTGGGTTTGGAAGGTACTGTCTAGGCTCTTTGGTGAATTTCTGCAGTGCATCTTATAGATAGTACACACTGCTGCTGCTGAGCTTCGGTGGTGGAGGGAGTGGATGTAGTGCCAATCAAGCGAGCTGCTTTGTCCTGGATGGCATCGAGCTTAAGTGTTGTTGGGGCTGCACTCATTCAGGCAAGTGGGGAGTATTCCATCACACTCCTGACTTGTGCCTTGTAGATGGTAGACAGGTTTTGGAGGAGTCAGGAGGGGAGTTATTCGCTGGAGTATTCCTAGCTTCTGACCTGCTCTTGTAGCCACTGTGTTTGTGTGGCAAGTCCAGTTGAGTTTATGGTCAACGATAACCAAGGATGTTGATAGTGGGGGATTCAGTGATGGTAACACCATTGAATGCCAGGGGGTGGTGGTTAGATTGTCTCTTATTGGTGATGGTCATAGTCTGGCATTTCTGTGGGGCAAATGTTACTTGCCACTTGTCAGCCCAAGCCTCGGTATTGTCCAGATCTTGTTGCATTTGAACATGGACTGCTTCAGTATCTGAGGAGTCAGGAATGGTGCTGAGCATTGTGCAATCATCTGCGAACATCCCCACTTCTGACCTTATGATGGAGGGAAGCTCATTGATGAAGCAGTTGAAGATGATTGGGCCAAGGACACTACCCTGAGGAACTCCTGCAGAGATGTCTTGGAGCTGAGACGATTGACATCCAACAACCACGACCATCTTCTTACTGTCAGGTATGACTCCAACCACCAGAGTTTGCCCCCTGATAACCACTGATTCCAGTTTTACTAGGGGTCCTTGATGCCACACCTGGTCAAATGCAGCCTTGATGTCAAGGGCTGTCACTCTCACCTCACCTCTGGAATTCAGCTCTTTTGTCCATTCTGAACCAAGGCTGTAATAAGGTCGGGAACTGAGTGGCCCTGGCAGAACCCAAACTGGGCGTCACAGAGCAGGTTATTGCTGAGCAGGTGCTGCGTGTTAGCATTATTGATGACACCTTCCAACACTTTACTGATGATTGGAGAGTAGACTGATGGGGCAGTAACTGGCCGGGTTGAATTTGTCCTGCTTTTTACGTACAGGAATTTTCCACATTGTCGTCAAGCAGATACCAGTGTTGCAACTGTACTGGAATAGCTTGGCTAAAGGAGCGGCAAGTTCTGGAGCACAAGTCTTCAGTACTATTGCCGGAATGTAGTCAGGGCCTGTAGCCTTTGCAGTATCCAGTGCCTCCAACTGTTTCTTGATACCACATGGAGTTAATTGAAATGGTTGAAGACTGGTATCTGTAATGCTGGGGATCACTGGAAGAGGCCAAGATGGGTCATCCACTTGGCACTTCTGGCTGAAGATTGCTGCGAAAGCTTCAGCCTTATCTTTTGCACTGATGTGCTGGGCTCTTCCATCATGGAGGATGGGGATATTTGTGGAGCCTCCTTCTCCAGTGAGCGGTTTAATTATCCACCACCATTCACAACTGGATGTGGCAGGTCTGCAAAGCTTACATCTGATCTGTTGGTTGTGGAATCACTTTGCTCTATCACTTGCCGCTTATGCTGGTTGGCATTCAAGTAGTCCTGTCTGGTGGCTTCACCAGATTGACACCAAATCTTCAGGTATCCTGATACTTCTCCTGGCATACCATCCTGCACTCTTCAATGAGCCAGGGTTGATCCCCTGGCTTGATGGTAATGGTTGAATGGGGGAATATGCCTGGCCATGAGGTTACAGACTATGCTGGAGTACAATTCTGCTGCTGTTGATCCCCCACAGTACCTCATGGATGCCCAGTCTTCAGTTGCTAGATCTGTGCAAAGTCTGTCCCATTTGGCACAGTGATAGTGCTACATAACACGATGGAGGGTATTCTCAGTGTGAAAGTGGGACTTTGTCTCTGCAAGGACTGTGCGGTAGTCACTCTTACCAATACTGTCATGAACTGATGCAACTGCAGCTGGCAGACTGGTAAGGATGAGGTGAAGTATGTTTTTGCCTCTTTTTGGTTCCCTCACCACCTGCTGCAGACCCAGTCTAGCTGCTAATGTCCTTTAGGACCCGACAGTTCAATCAATAGTACTGCTGCTGAGCCACTCTTGGTAGTGGACATTGAAATTCCCCACCCTGAGTACATGGTGTGCCCTTGCCATCCTCGGTGCCTCCTCCAAGTATTGTTCAACATGGAGGAGTACCAATTCATCAGCTGAGGGAGGATAGTACATGGTATGCCCATGTTTAACCTGAAGACATGAGACTTCGTGGGGTCCGGAGACAAATGTTGAGGACTCCCAGAGCAACTACCTCCCAAATGTAGACCACTATGCCGCCACCCCTGCTGGGTCTGTCCTGCCAGTGAGAGATGAATATCCAGGGATGGTCCTGCTGGCATCTGGGGCATTGTAAAGTATGATTCCATGGGTATAACTATGTCAGGCTGTTGCTTAACTAGTCTGTGAGACAACTCTTCCAAATTTGGCACTAGCCAAAATGTTAGTGAGGAGGACTTTTCAGGGTCAACAGGGTTGTTTCTGCCGTTATCTCTTCTGGTGCCTCGGCTGATACCAGGTGGTCCATCTGGTTTCATTTCTTTGAGACGTTGTAGCGATTGGTACAACTGGATGGGTTGCTAGGCCATTTCAGAGGGCAATTGAGAGTCAACCACATTGCTGTGGGTCTGGAGACACATGTAGGCCAGACCAGGTGATGATGGCAAATTTCCTTCCCTGAAGGACATTAGTGAACCTGATGAGTTTTTCCGATAATCAATGATTTCAATGATTCTTCATTCCAGATTTTTAAAAATTGAATTCAAATTCTACAATCTCCCATGACAGGATTCGAACCCAAGTCCCCAGAACATTAGCCAAGTTTCTGGATTAATAGTTTAACGATAATACCACTAGGCCATCGCCTACCCATAAACTAACAGTATGATAATTGAAGTTTTCAAAATATTGTTGAAATAATTACTTGGAATTTTGGTAGAGGAAATATGATCCTCTGGCATTGTATACCAGATCAAAATCATGCCTCTTGGAAGTTATTTTGTTATTTTAACATTAAAGGAAAGTCTCAATGTATCGGTTTGAGGTAAATTTTGCCAGTTCGATTGCACTGGGTAACTTTTCTTCAACCAGCAGCTGATGAATTATAAAATCATTGAATGTAACAATACTTCAGCAGATCTTGCTCTTTACCTTCGATTTATTAGGTTTCTTCTTCTTGTCTGTAGTACTGCTGTCTCGGCTTTGTGTCTAAAAACAAGAATGATAATATTCGTGAGATAATACAATATTACATCTGTGGATTAATTTTTTTGCATACTTACCAAACTATAAACTTCTATTTCAATTTCAAAATCATTCGAGACATCCTGCCTAAAATAGAAGAAAAGTTTGTGTACTTAACGCAAGCAAAAAGACAAAATAAAAAAAAGTTCAACTTTTCTAAACACAGAATCATGAAACAGCTCAAACTATAGTACTGCAGCGAAGTACTGAAGGAACAATGTGGTGTCAGTCTTGGTCAGTGTTTTTGAAATATTCCTTTAGTGGACTATTTGGTAAGTCAGGCAAAAGACCCTGCAACCAACCTACAGGTTCTATTCTATCTGCTATTCTGCCACTGTAAAAACTCAGAAGTAGTGGGAAGAATTGCACTACTTTTGATGAAACACCAATAAGGTGATAGATCATTCAAACCTGAAACATTTGGTCTCACGCTGGCCCTCACATTCAGCTGGTTCCTTAGGAAGAAATTTCTCTCCCAACTCAATGGATTTGTAGGTCTTTTGAGGAAGTGCTGTGGTCTTCTCACTGCCCTTCCACAATCTGCAATTTCATACGGCGTAAGCAAGGTCCAACTGAAGGTATTAAGCAGCCAGTTAATGACCACTCAAAAGGCTGAAATCATGGCAGATCACCCTGCTCTGACCTCAAGAAAGGGCTCACCTTCAAGGTCAAATGATTACTTTCTAATACCCATGGTTGTTGATGGTCATTTCTTGGAGGTGGAACATTTGCAGGTGAGGAGTGAAAGTTCAGTCTCCAGCTGGATCTGTGGCTGCTGTGGATGCATTCCCTGCCAACTCTTCAGCTGACTAGGGGGAAATCCAATTGATTAAAATATTTCTGACCATCCTCTCAGTTTTCAGATCACAAGAGTTAAAAATTTAGTTTCATAGTTAAATCTTGACATAACAGTGACATAAATCTGTTATAAACATACGTTGTTGTTTCCTGCCTCTGTCATGCCTGAATATAATTTGTGCGAATGGAACTCAGAGTTCTAGTTCTGATCTTGGCTGTGAAGTCAGTGGTTTGCATTTTGGACCAGCTTGCAGACCACCTGGGAGGACCCTCGTCTATAGACTACACCCAAGGATCAAAGGTCCAGGTTATTTCTCAAGTTCTGGAGCAGCGTTTAAACTCATGTCCTTCTATTGCCAAGAAAATATACATTTGTGTCTCTGCTTTTCAGATTCCTCTTGATATGAGCCAAAAATTAAACCCTTCATCAAAACTATTTCAGCACATGATTGGAATATGATATCAAAGGAGAAGAATCATTTGACAATTAACCAATAAATGTATAAATTGCAGCTATGGAGATAACATTGTTTCTTCACTTGAAATCTAACTTTAGACTGGGGTCATTTTATTCAGAGCCCTGAACTAGGTACAGATTACTTGAATGCAAATAAGTTGTTAACATAATATGTCAAATAGTTTAAGACAGCCCGCAAATATGCAAATTAAAACTGAACTCTGGATTTTGTTTCCATATTTCTTACTTACAGTGTAAATTTTGTGGGGAAACTAATAGCATCTCCACTTAGTGCAATCTGGGTGGAGGCCAGTGGCGTGGCCACCATATTTAATGCTCCTGCTTTAATCAGTATAAAGAAATAATAGCTGGTAGCATCTGTAAGAGATCAATAATTCAAAATCAGCCATATATATATATAAAATTAAAAGGCTTTCTGATGTGAACACAATTTGACAAAAGCACCTTTCAATTTTATTTGCAAATAACATTTGGAATTTTAATGATAATTAGATCCTACAATTAATTCGTGTATAACTAATTCAAATACTATCTCAAAAAGCTAAAAGGCTAAATATAACATGTTAAAAAAAACCAACTACAAAATTTATATTGGAGTTCATTAACTTTTGATATTTAATAGAAAGGAAAAATCCACAATAGATCATTTTTTTAATTTAGTTATGTTTGTATATCCAAACAAATTGTGTTTTTAAAATAAAAAAATCATTGGGAGCATGGTGTTTTGGTCTAATCCAAATCAAGTCACATTGGACTACATTCAAAATACATTTGTTACGTCAAGTTCTACTTTATACTTTCCTTGATTTTGGACATCCGATCCAAACAGTGCTTGATTAGCATGCCATTTCAAAAATGTCTGGTCACTCAAATGATTTATTGCTTTCTTTAAGCAGTTATGGTTGTCAAGATAACCTAATTTGCGACAGCATGTCACTTTAGAGTTCTTTCACAAAGCTGCTCCAATTCAAGTCTGAACAAGCATTTTTCAAACAGACAAAAACAGTGTCCAATGGCTGAAACAGTAAATGTCATTGCTACAGGAGTGTCCAGTTTTGCACAATTCCAGTTTATGGACAATCGAAATTTAGGTATTGAAAATGTAAAGGAGACCTCCAATTGCAATCTATTACATTTTAAAACCCATTAGGTGTAGATCAATACCATGGACAAATGAGCAATTATGTAGTACCATCTTTAGTAGCTGGTTCAGCTTTAGGGCAGAACATACCAATTTTACTACTCTGTATTTAAAATTAGGCTTACCCATTTTGTGAGCTGTTGAGCAGATGAAATCAGCCTTCAAAGGAAGGCGGATTTCTGAAAGTGCAACACAGCCCCTTGACGGAGCATATTCGCTAGCTGCTTTCTCCATGTGGTCTCCTCTTTTACTTGCAGGCACTCCCTCACTCTTCAGTTTATTCAGTTCAGTGAGAAGTGCCAACCTCTTTTCGCCTATGTGCAAAAACAAAAGGTAGGGTTTAACAAACAAGTTCTTTGTGCGCCTTATTCTTTAAAATTGTGCAAGTATATTTTATATTGCAATATGTCATGCTTGCTTTGCTCAACACTTCAGTGTGATAGCTGTCAATTTAAATTCAATTTGCAGCTAAACTTGATGTAAGCTCTCCCAAGGGAATATTCACAACTTAATTTAGAGAAATGATTATATGTACTTATAATTTGATTTCAAATATTGATGATAAATTTAAGCTTAACCTCAAAGTAATGCAAATTTGCACTACTTTATTGAACTCATAGCATTATTACAATGAAACGTTTACTTCATTGACATCTGTGCTTGTCAACCATAAGTCAACATACAGTAATTGTTCTAACATTTTATACAAACGCCCTTCACAGACTTGGCCTTCTGTATGGTTGTGCTGGCTAGGAGGGGTAGGGAGAAAAATCCCAGGTTGGCCTGACCATAGCATTTTAATAAGAATAATCAAAATGAAAATTGCTATTTCAATGTTGTATCAATTACTCAGAGCTGTTTTGATAACAGTACAATTGAAAAGAAGCATACAAGTAATTAAATTTTAGCATTTAATGGACTTTAATAGGTTTGAATTAGAGGTTTCAGAAAAATTCAAAACAGTCAGCTGAGAAAAGCACAACTGTTTACTGTTGGAAGTGAGCATTCACACATTTAAATATTCACTTTTTCCAAACACACTTTGTACTAGAGAAAATTGTACATTCATAAATATATTGCATCTTAAATGTTTCTTACTGGCAATCAGCAGCAACCTTTCAGCCTCAGCTTCTTGCTGAGATCCTTTCCCATGATCTTCATCTGTACAACAATTTAAAGCCTGACTTGCCTGGTGGATAACACTTTGCTGGATATTTATCTCATTATTCAGATTCTTGAAATGATAAAGTGAAACTAATTAATATATGAGTAAAATAGTACATTAGTAACATCAGAGGATTTTACAGTTTGGGCTGATGGAAAACCAGCAGTCTCCTCCCAGAATGAAAACTGAATTCAAACAAGGTGTACCATGCGACCTAAAACCAAGTTCAGTTTGTTCTTCTAACAAATACAAATGAAACTCCATTTCTTTCCACATCCCTGAAATTTAATGCTCTTAAATCAAAGTGCATAATTGCAAAGGCAATCAGGTTGATGTAATGTCCAGCATGCTATAGTCCTCTTGCATTGAAGTCATTACCTTCATCCTCTGTTTAACGGTAACTGAACCTAGAGTTGCACTATTCTTTTCCTCAAGTCTTTGAGAAACATCCTCTTTACGAACAATGACTTGTTTTGCTGAAGGGCGTTCGGTATTAAGTCTTTGAGACCTGTAGGCATCAATACTGTGAAGGGGGGAAAAACAGTTGAAATTACAACACAAAAGTGATTAAAGTTAAACTTTAAAGGACTTCCTCTAGATCAGCGTCCAACAGGAATTGAAAATCTAGAATTATACAAGATAAATTGCAAAATAATTGGCTCATTATAAATTCACTATTTTCTTTACATTGGCATCCATGTTGCCTCCTATTTGTCAGAACAATTTGCTTTGCATAGGCAAGATTACTTCTATTGCCTCTTATTTTTGAATCTCTCCCCAATGACACTGCTTACCTACTTCAAGATTCTGACTCAGTAAGGTACATTCACAAGGATTTCTTTTTTAAAAAAAAAGTACTTCCCTGTGCTGCTGTCCATTTTTCTACTGTTTAAATGTAATTCAAATTAGATTGGTAAAATTTGACATTTTATTTGTACAGAATTCCACCCAGAGACTGGAGGTACATTTTATTTGCCAAGGTTCTGGCTTCTGAAGGTGGGACTTTGTGTGGGCTGTGTTAATAGCAACGCAAAGTTGCATTAGGTTAGAAACCTGATATGATCCCACCCCAAATGTAGATGGAAGGTGGCAAATTTACAAAGAGCACCACAAAGCCGTAATCTCCTGCAACTTCATCCTTAAATCCCCTCTCAATTAGGGAATAAAGCCAACATTTCCCAAACTATGTGGAACATGAGCGAGCCAACCACATGAAATCTTCATGGGAAGTACTTGCTCAGGTGAAACTGACAGACTAGGTAGCCTCCAAACAATTGAGCTAAATAGCTGCAGCCTGGCTAGGAGAGAGATCATACTCGGGATGTTTTCACTGCTTGACAGATGATAATTCACTTAACTTCATCTGCACTTCCTTGCTGTCAGCCTTCACTGCAGCACAAGTGGGGAAGACCAAGCTATACCTTGGTCAGCTGAAGAGTCAGAAAAAATAAATAAGTACAGCATAAGGAAACTTTGAGCTGCCTGCTCTCAGTCAAATGGCTCTCCACAGAACAGACAGGATGGACATGCAGAGATTCTACTCAAAAAGGGAGATCCCAAAGGAAAGGATCTGCACTTCCAGGATGTGTGACCACTACTGCCTCAAGATGCTCAACCTTTCATCAGAAAACATTTACAGACTCTTTCAGCAATTACCTCCACTGCAGCTGGCCTCGTGGGCACATAAAGCCAGTAATCATCAATGAAAGCTAGCTCACCGCCCAACTTCAACTGTCTATCTTGCCCTTTCTTATGAAAGAAAGCAAAATACCACAATGCTAGAGATCTGAAATATCCACGAAGAGAGAGCGAAACAGAGTTAACATTTTGTGTCAAATGACTCTTGGGATGGTTCCTAAGAAAAGTCATTGGACTCGCAACATTAACTGTTTCCTTGTCCACTAATGCTGCTAGACATGATGTATTTCTCCAGTACTTTGTTTTTATTTGCAAATTTGAGAAATGTTTTGCATGCACAGACAAGAAAAAAACATTTGTGGAAAACGACTGCCAAGTCAATGTTATAACATAGTATTCCTTTAAGTTGCAACAAAGGTGTAAAACTGGATGGACTACCTGACATCAACATATGCACCAGAAATTACAATGGTACACTCAGCCCCGTCAATCACGCAAAATCTTACTTAGTAACACCTGGGGGGCTAGTGCCAAAAATTGGCAGATATTTCTCAGACTAGTCAAGCAAAAGCATGATAAGAGTCCTAACTCTAACTCATGGAATTGTATCTCGCACAAAACATCCCAGACAACACGATCACCATCCCTGGGTATGATAGGCCCAGGAGAGGTAGTGGCACAGCGGCATACAGCTAGGAGGGAGATTCTGTGGAAGCTCTCAACATTGATTCTGGACACCATGATGTTTTGTGGCACCAAGTCTTGTGAATTGCCACCAATATCCAATCCCACCTCCCCCCCAACAGAAAGCAGCAAATAACATAAGTAGTATGAAAAAGACAGTGCGAAATGATTCCACAAACAATGCTTCAGATGCAAGTTTGTGGTCCTGCCACAGCAAATTGTGAATGGTGGTGACAATTAAACAACTCATTGGAGGAGACGGCTCCACCAATCTCCTCATCCTCAGTCATGGCGGGGGTGGGGGGGGAGGGGGGGGGGGGGTGGTGCCAAACACACCAGTGTAAAGGCAAGGCAAGGTTGAAACATTTGCAACAATGTTCAGCCAGAAGTTCCAAGTGGATGATCCATCTTGGCTGCTCCAGAGCCCCCAGGATCAGATGCCAGTCTTCAGTCAATTCAATTCATTCCACATAATAATCAAGTAGTAAGTGATACACTGAATATAGCAAAGGTTACGGGCCATGCTAATATTCCAGCAACAGGACCGAAGACTTGTGCTTCAAAACATGCTGCTATACTGTCAAGTTGCTCCAGTACAGTTACAACACTGACATCTACCTGACACTGTGGAAAATTGTCCAGGCATGTGCTGTACTGAAAAAGTACAAATCTGAACCATCTAATTATAACTCCATCAGTCTACTCTTACTCATCAGTAAAGTGATGGAGAGGGACTATTATCAAGTATTACCAAATAGCACACACTTAGAAATAACCTGCTCACTGACACTTAGTTTGGGTCCTGGCAAAGCCACTCGGCTCCTGGACTCATTACAGCTTGTTTCAAACGTGGACAACATAGTTGAGCTCCAGGTGGCAACAGGGAGTGATTGCCTTTGACATCAAGGCTGCATTTGACCTAGTGTGGCATCAAGGATCCTTAACAAGATTTGTATCAATGAGAATTAGGGGAGATCTCTCTGCTGCTTGGAGACATACCTAGCACAGAGGAAGAGAGTTGTGGATTTGAGGTCAATCATCTCCGCTCCAGTTCATCTCCACAGGCCTTCCCCAGGATAGTGTCATAGGCCCAACCAACTTCGGTTGCTTCATCAGTGATGCTCATCCACCATAAGGTCAGAAGTGGGGATGGTTGCTGATGGTTGCACAACGTTCAGCACTATTTGTAATTCCAATGATCAGAAACTGAACAGGACTAGGCATATAAATACTGTGGCTACAAGAACAGATCATAGACTAAGAATCTTGCAGAGACTACTTCAAGCAACCCCCCAGTGTCTGCCCACCACCTACAAGGCACAAGTCAGAAATGTTTTGGAATACTCTCCACTTGCCTAGATAAGTGCAGGTCCACCAATACTCAAGAAAGTTGACACCATTCAGATCAAAGCCGCCCACTTGATTGGTACCACATTATATTCACTCACTCCACCACCATGTTCAGGAACAGCACTGGAAGCCATCTACAGGATGCACTACAAAAAATATACCAAGGTTCCTTAGGCAGTACCTTCCAAATCCACAACTCCAACCATCCCAAAAGGACAAGGACAGTGGATACATGGGAACATCACCAGCAAGTTTCCCTACAAGTCAAACATCATTCTGACTTGGAAATGTATCGCCTTTCCTTCACTATCACAGAAATCCTGGAACTCCATCTGTATCAATACTGTGGTGTACCTGCACCAAATGAACTGCAGCAGTTCAAGAAGCTATAGTCAACACAGTGTGGAGTTGGAGAAACACAGCAGATCAGGCAGCATCAGAGGAGCAGGAAAGTCGACGGTTCAGGTCAGGACCCTCCATCAGGGTGTCCGAGTTCAAGCAGCTATCTCACCAACACCTACTCAAAGGGCAATCAGGCATGGGAAATAAATGGTGGCCCACCTAGCGAGGCCCACATTTCTGAATTAATTTTAAAAGAAGTGTTAATATTAGGTGTCAATGTTGGGTATTCAGATGGGGATGAGAGGAGGGGCCTGAATATAGAAGAATGAGCAAAATATATTGTGGGAGGGATGTTGTGTAGGAGAATGCTGGAAAAGTCAGACTGTGGGGCTTGAATTTTGAAACGGCCACTGACCTTTCCTGTCTGCTTGGAGCAATATATTCAAGTTTCAGATATCAGACTGCTGTTGCTCACTTCCTCATCCATACCTCATGTCATTGACAACCACTTCAGTCCTTCAGATATTTCAGCATGACCTCCATGCAAGAGTTTGAGACCCTGGCAGCGACCTTCCCAGGTCTCCTTTCCATTCTTCTGGTTGCTCCGGGCTCATGTATCAAAGTTTACCATTCTGATAAGTGCAGATTCCTTTCTAACTAGAAATCCTACATTTAACAATTTTACTCCGCCTGTTTTGACTGGGAGGTGTGAAAGCAGGATGCTAATACTAGGGGTGAGTTAAAGAGACACAGCAAAGCCTGCTTCGGTAACAAGTGGGTTTCTGAGCTGTTAATTGCCCCTCTGCTGTTTGCAAGTCCACTTGGATAAAATGTTATCCTATATCTTTCTCTATCGCAGGGAGAAGAAGCAATGAAAAACAAAAGGAAAATAAGCTGAAATACAATCAAATCCACTCTTGCATACTTAAGACCGATATCAAAGCTTTGAGTCAGAAGGGAAATACTCCAGGAAGTGAATACTCAAACGAAGTACTTGTTTATTTAAAACAAAAACTTGCTGTCCTTTTTGATTTGTAAGCATCCCAAAATCAAATTATGAAATTAAAATAGAAGTTACCATATTCCCAGAGCACCATAGACTGGTGGCGAATTAAACTAGAGAGTCACCATACCTCAGACAAAATGCAATGTTGAGAAAGCAGAGCCTTTATGGTGACCTCAGCTGGTACAGTAATTGAACTTGCACACTTGCAAAGTGATGCCTTCACAAACCAACCATCTAGACAACTGAGACAGCAACAATATCCTTGATACCTGTATAATAAGCTATGGCCACCTGTTGAGGACCCCACACTGCCAGAAGACTCTGCTCTGGTTATGTGTTTTTGTTGTAATTTGTCCATCTTCATTTTGTCTGAAGTTATGTTCTCCTGTGTTGCAGGACTCATTGCAGTATTTGTAGAAACAGATTTCTGTATAAAAATAACCGTAAAATATAACACATCATAAACTTTTTCAAAGTCATATTTTTAAATTGCAGTGAGAGAAATAGATTCTTTAAAAAATGCTTAATTTAACAATTGCATTTTTGTCAAATTTGCTAGTATTATGAAATTTTACTTCAAAGAACAGATTAGCACATTTGTTCAAATCATGTAATAGTAGTTTAGAGAAACAAAGGCATAATATTATCAAGTAAATTGGGAAACATTACTTAAAAGGGATGACAGTGGCTAGGCAATGGCAAACACTCAGTGCATGGATGATCTGCAATGGTTCATTCCTGTTTGGCACAAAAATGAATTGAGAAATATGGCCCAACTGTGGCTAATAGGGAAATTAGGGATAGCATTAGGTCCAAGAAAGGGACACGCAGATTAGCCAAAAGGAGCAGCAGACCTGAGGAATGGGAGCAGATTACACTTCTGCAAAGGAGGACAAAGGATTTGATTAAGTGAGGGAAACTGGAATACAATAGTAAGGTTTCAGGGAACATAAACTGATTGTAAGAGCTTCTATAGGTACGTGAAGAGAAAAAGATGGTAAAGACCAAAGACCTCAGAGTCAGAAACAGGGGAAGATACAATGGGGAAAAGAGGGGATGGCAGATCAACTAAAAACATACTTTGGTTCTGTCTTCACAAACAACTTCCCTAAAACGTTGGGGAACACAGAATCTAGTAAGACAGACTAACTGAAGGAAATTGGTAAAAGCAGGAAAATGGTATAGAAAAATAGCAGAAAAATCCCCAGGCTCTGAGAATCTACATCCCAGAATACTTAAGGAAGTGGCCCACGAAATAGTGGATGCATTGGTGGTCATCTTTCAAGTTCTATACACTCTGGAACAGATCCTATGGACTGGAGTGTAGCTAATGTAACCCCACGATTTGGGAAAGGAGGTAAGAGAAAACAGGGAGCTACAGACTGGCAAGGTTGACATCAGTGGTGGGGAAATGCTAGAATTCTTCATAGAATTAGACAGTTAATCTAGAGACCTAGGTAATGTTCTTGGGACATGGGTTCAAATCCTGGTACGGTGGAAATTTAATTCCAATTTCTTTTATTGAATTCAGAGTCTAATGGTGACAATGAAACCATTTGATGATGTTGGGAAAAAACCCATCTGGTTCACTCATCCTTTAGGGAAGGAAATCTGCTCTCCTTACCTAATTTGGCCTAATTATGACCCCAGACCCACAGCAATGTGTTTGACTCATAACTGTCCTTTGGGCAATTAGGAATGGACAACAAATGCTGGCCTAGCCAACGATGTCTGCATCCCATCAATTAATTTTGACGAAAATCTATTTCTGAAATAAATCTAGTTCTTCACTTGTAAAACAGTGACAAGATCAGACAGAGTTAGCTTGAATTTGCTTTTGAGTAGGTGACTTGTAGAATTGATAAGGGGGAGCCAGTGGATGTAGCTTACCTGGACCTTCAAAAGGCTTTTGACAAAGTGCCACCTAAGAGATTAGCATGCAAAATTAAATCTCATGGGATTGGAGATAGTGTTCTGACATGGAGAGACAACTGGGTGGCAGGAAACAAAGGGTAAGAATAAAAAGGTCTTTTTCTGAGTGGCAGCCAGTGACTAGTGGAGTACTGCAGGGATCAGTGCTTGGACTGCAGCTATTCACAACATATATTTTCATACAGATAAAAGGAAACCAAATGCAATATCTCAACGTTTGCAGTTGACACAAAGCTGGGTTGGAGGTTGAACAATGCATAGATGTTTCAGTACGATTGGAAGCTGAACGAGTGGGCAAATGCTTGGCAGATGAAGTCTAATGAGTTCATCTACTTTTGTAGCTGAATGGTGATGAATTGGGAAGCAGGGAAGTGCAATGAAACCTGGGTGTCTTTGTACACCAATTGCTAAAAGTAAGCATGCAGGTGCAGCAGGCAGTGAAAAAGGCTAATGGTACGTTGCCTTCACAGCAAGAGGATTCAAGCACATAAGCAGGGATGCTGTGCTGCAGTTGTATGAGATCCTAATGAAACCATACCTGGTGTATTGAGTGCAGTTTTGGTCTCCTTACTGAGAAAGGATGCTTTTGCCAAGGAGGGAGTGCAATGAAGGCTTACTAGATTGATTCTTGAAATGGTAGGACTGACACGTGAAGAGAGATTGGATTGGTTAAAGTTATATTCACAGAAGGACTTTAGAATAATGAGAGGGGCAGAGTCCTTTTGAAATCTATGAAATTCTAACAGGATTAGACAAGATACACACAGGAAGGATGTTTCAGATGACCAGGGAATCCAGAAGCAGGAGTCACATATTCAGAGAGTCTCTGACTCTATGATCATGTGGTGACCTTATGTTTTGCACCCTTCAGATTACAAACAGATTTTGTTTCATCAACAGACTCAATGTTAAATTACTTACACTTGGAAAAGACAGAAGTATAACATTTACCTACTGGACCTACCAGTACTTAAACTAAGTGCTTAAAGCTGAGCAATCTAATTGATGCCTTAGGACATGAGGAAGATGTGACATTTTAAACTTAATATATTAATTTATATGAAAATATGCTAAAGAGATCAAATCCTCAAGTGTGTTTCAAAGACAAAGCAAGTGAGAATTGAGTGGAGTGGTGTGGCAGATTGAAATAAAAAAAGAAAAAGAAAAAAGGAAAAGGAATAAAACCAGGACATTTAGTACTATGTGGAATTTGTCAGTAGCAATGTAGTCAAACATATCAAGTTTGTATTCCTGCAATAAGCAAAATGACCAAATAATTTCTGGTCTGATTGATTGGTAAATACACAACAGTAATTAGGAAAATTTGTTGATTCTTTGAAAAGTGTTGCCTTTTTTTTTTTTTAAAAATATCCCAAAATGTCCAATGGGGCTTTGGTTTAATTTTTCAAACATATGACAGCATCTCTGACAATGCAGCAATGGAGTGCCAACCTAGATCTTTAGCTAAAATCATAGATCAGGGTTTAAACACAGCTTATGACTTAAGGAAGTGCGCTGTCATAATGAGAAAGCTGACAGGAAGGTGACTAAAGTAATTTGCTTTGGAAGTATAAAGATGAGAGAAACTAGGGATCTAAAAAGGTGTTCAACATGCTTATGGAAGTTTTGACAAAGTATATCAGGAAATGATCCAGACCAGTTGGGGAATTAGCAACTGCAGACACAAATTTAAGGTCATTTGCAAAAAAAAAGAAAGAAAGAGAACAGGTCTGTTAGACTTGTCATGTTCTACAAGAAAGAAGAGTGGTGAAAAGCATAATATATCTTTCAGAGAAGTAGTTAATTAATACATGGCAAAGAAAGATTCAGAAGATATAGGGGAAGGCCAGATAAATGGGGACAATTGCTTAGGTCTGTCAAAGAACCAATGCAACAGAATGCCTAACAGGCTTTCTTGCTTTCTGTTTCATACATTTTTAGTATTCACAAGTCTTTTGATGCAAAACTGGGACTGTCACATTGTTGCATTCAGTAATGCTTTTCCAAAGCTACAGCCAAGTTGCATTAATGGGATAGAGCATATTGGCTTTTTTTTTTGGGGGGGGAGCAGGGTTGGGAGGTTGGTGGAGGGGACAGAGAGCAGTGACGTAATTAAACAGTATGGAGTGCTCATGTGCAGGCAACGAATACCTAAATAGCCAAAGCTCGTGTCAGTTTTCACCAATAACAATGCTTGCTTTAATGAGCTTACAAATTGACCAGAAATGGTGGGGATTAATAAAAAACCTAGATCCATAAAGAGACAGAATTCTACAAATCTGAATCTCACCTCTGGGTTTGTGACAGCATCAACTGTTTCTACCAATGGAGCAAGTAGCGACATTGAGGATATGTTCAGTTCATCATTTTTCTCCATTTCACTTTCAGTTTCCTTTTTGCAGTCCCTTCTTTCATCCAATTCCTCCTCATCTCCATATTCTTCTTCTTCCAGTACACCATCAAATAATTCATTAATGACTTCCGAACTGTTAATTTCTTCATCATTGTCAACACTCATCTCAACTACACATATTGCTTCATCTTTATCTGCCAGAATCACATCAATTCAAATTAAATGTTAAACAATCTTGGTTTTCAAACATCAAATTACAGAATATTGATTAGTACACATAAAACACTTATATCCTACTTCAACAAATGCTTCAACCATTTTCAGAATGGTATCATTTCCAGAAAAAACATACATTTCACCTATTATACCAGCTAACATTATGGTTAGAGTGGAGTTGTCAGCATGCAGTGAAACCTTAAGACCAACAAACAGTTTCCTCTTCTATCAACTTGATTAAATTCCAAAGCGTACAACCAAAAATTAAGTGATGGTAGACCAACCCACTCCATCATTCACTTCTGAGCTCCAGTAGCCACACAGGGCCATGAGGAATATAAAGAAAGCAGGAAAGAACTCAAGCAGAGAATTAGGAGAGCAAGATGGGGCCATGAAATGACATTGGCAAGTAGGGTTAAAGACAATCCCAAGGCATTCTATATTTATATTAAAAACAACAGGAACGTAGGATTACTCAAGGATAAAAGGAGGGAACTTGTGCTTGGAGGCAGAGGATGCAGGCAAGATCCTAAATGAGTACGTTGCACCAATATTCACCCAGGAGAAGGATATACGGGATAGGGAGATTTGTGTGGGGCATGTAAATATGCTAGGGAATTTTGAGATTAAGAAAGTAGTAGTGTTGGGTCTCGAAGTGCATTAAGGTGGATAAGTCCCCAGGGCCCAATGGTATGTCAAGGTTGTCAAGATCTTTGTATTCTTGCTAGCCATTGGAGAGGTCCTAGAGTACTTGCAAGTAGCTAATGTTGTTCCCCTATTGAAGAGGAGAAATAGGAATAATCCAGGAAACTATAGACCAGTGGTTGGGAAGCTATTGGAGAGAATTTGTAGGGATAGGATATATGTACATTTGGAAAAGCATGGCCTAATGAGACACAGTCAGCATGGTTTTGTGCAGGGCATATCAAGTACTAACTTGACTGAATTTCGAGGTGGTGACAAAAGGTGATCAATGAGGATAAAGCAGTGGATATCGTCTACATGGATTTTAGTAACACTTTTGACAAGGTCCCTCAGACTTATCCAGAAGGGCGGCATGGTAGCTTAGTGGTTAGCACTGCTATCTCTCAGTGCCAGGGACGCAGGTTCAATTCCACCCTTGGGTGACTGCCCGTGTGGAGTTTGCACGCTTTCCCTGTGCCCGAGCGGTTTCCACTGGGTGCTCCGGTTTCCTCCCACAGTTCAAACATGTGCATTTAGGTGGATTGGCCGTGCTAAATTAACCATATAGCGTTCAGGGATGTAGAGATAAAGTGCGTTAGCTATGGGAAATCAGGGTTACAGGCATAAGGTAGGGGATAGATCTCTTTGGAGGATTGGTGTGGACTTTTTAGGCCAAAGGGCCTGTTTCCACAGCGTAGGGATTAAAAAAATTTAAGATGCATTGGACACAGTGACCTGGCAACGTGGATTCAGAACTAGTTTGCCCATAGAAGGCAGAGGGTAGTGGTGGGTGGGTGGGTGCTTTTCAGGCTGGAGGTCCATACTAGTGGTGTTCCACAGGGACCCATACTGTGACCTCTGTTGTTTGGGATATATGTAAATGACTTAGATGAAAATGTAGATGGATGGGTTAGTAAGTTTGTAGGCAGTACAAAGATCAGTGGAGATAGTGTAGACGGTTGTCAAAGAATACAGTGGGATCTAGGTCAGTTGCAGATATGGCAGATGGAGTTTAATCCAGGTTAAGTGTGAGGTGCTACACTTTGAGGGGAGATCAAATGTTAAGGAAAAGCACACAGTTAATTGCAGGACCCCGAACAACCAAGATGTACAGAGGGATCCGGGGGATCAAGTTCATAGAGCCTTCAAAGTGGCCACACAAGTAGATAGGCAGTAAAGAAGGCATATGGTATGCTTGCCTTTATTGGTCAGGGAATTGAGTACAAGAGTCAAGATGTCGTGTTGTAGCTTTAAAAGACTTTGGTTAGGCCACACCAAGTATTGTGATCAGTTCTAGTCGTCACAGTATAGGAAGGATGAGGAGACTTTGGAGAGGGTGCAAAAGAGATTTACCAGGATGCCACCAGGATTAGAGGGTATTAGCTATAAGGAGAGGCTGTAAAAATTCAGGTTATTTTCTCTGGAGCAGTGGAGGCTGAGGGGAGACTTGATAAAAGTTTATAAAATTGAGATGCATAGATAGGGTTAAACGATCAGAATCTTCTTCCCAGAATAGAAATGTCTAAGACTTGGGGGCATGCATTTAAGCTAAGAGGTGAAAGGTTCAGAGGAGATGTGAAGGGCAAATATTTTTACACACAGAGTGGTAGGAGCCTGGACTGCTGGGGTGGTGGTGGAAGCAGATACGATAGGGGCGTTTAAGGGACTTTTAGATAAGTACATGAATATGCAAGGAATGGAGGGATATGGACCAAGGGCAAGTAAAAGGGAGTATTCGAATTTGGCATCATGTTCGGTAAAACATCGGGGCCGAAGGGCCTGTTCTTTTGCTGTACAGTTCTATCACAAATATATACATTAAGCAGGTATATGTATTTGAATTATGTAGCTTGCAACAGTTTTAAATTTTTGTTTAAGAATCTACAATTCATAAAGTATATCTTCAAAGTTTTCTAAGTTTTTCCTTACAAGATATGTAACATAATTAAATATAATAAAATGTTACATGTCACTTAAAAAGAGCAGGATGAATAAATATACCTGGTTGACTAATAGTTTGGCCAGAGGTATGTTATAAAAACCATCTTAAAAGGAGAGAAAAGTAGAGGGGTTAGGCAGAGAATTTGAATTTCACTCTTGGGATGTGACCACCATTGGTAAGGCCAGCATTGCTAATTGTCTTTGACAGATGGTGTTGAGCTGTCATCCATAACTGCTCTAATCCATGTCATGCAAGTACACAAACAGTCCTGTTATGTAGGAATTCCAGGATTTTTAATCAAGAGATTATGAGAAAGCAATGTTGTTCCAAGGTAGGATGATTTGCGGCTTAGAGAGGAAATTGAAGGTGGTGGTGTACCATGTAGCTGCTGTCCTTGTCCTTCTAGATTGGAGATGCTGCTGAATGAGCCTTGAAGTGTTGCTGTTGATACATTATGGACACTCAAATGACAGCAGCATGCAAGGAATGAATGCCTAAAGTGATGGATAATCTCGCTACGTTGCCTTGTCTAAAGTGAAGATTTTCAGTGCTGCTGCTCTTCTGGGCAAACGCAGAGTATTCCATCACATTCCGGACTTGTATTATGTATGTGGTCAACAGGCTTTGGGGGAATCAGAAGTTGAATTACTTTTCCTAGAGACCCCCAACCTCTGAACAGCTATTATAATGATAGCATTAATATAGTTAATGACTAGTTAGGTTTCTCATCATTGGTGAACTGGACAATGTTATTGGTTGCATCTTCAGTGATGGGTAATACTGTTGAACCCCAAGGTGAGATAGTTAGATTATTGCTTGTTTGAGATAGATAGTTAGATTATTGC